TCGATACTTTCTTAAAAAAGGGAGAAACGGTCTTAAATGTAATTATTGTGCTTTATTTCACACCAGAACCATAACCATAACACAAACTTTTAAACAATGAGAACAATAAATAAATAAATGACAAGAATTCGTATTAAATAAAATTAATACATTTCTTACAGACAGGCCTCGTGGTGTCCGTAGGCTTGCCCTCACTGTCAGAGAGATAGCTAAAATACTTCCACATTTCGCTTTCTGGGCGTCTTTTTTGTCAACAAGCCGAGGCCGCAGCGGCAGCTGCACTCCACTTGCAGCCATGCTTCTCGTTTCTCTCACATGCTCTGGCAGCTAGCGCGTGCACGAGAGAGGGGAGGGACTTAGAGCGTGCACGAGAGAGGGGAGGGACTTAGAGCGTGCTTGAGAGGGGAGGGACTTAGAGCGTGCTTGAGAGGGGAGGGACTTAGAGCGTGCTTGAGAGGGAGGGACTTAGAGCGTGCTTGAGAGGGAGGGACTTAGAGCGTGCTTGAGAGGGAGGGACTTAGAGCGTGCTTGAGAGGGGAGGGACTTAGAGCGTGCTTGAGAGGGAGGGACTTAGAGCGTGCTGAGGGAGGATTAGGGCTTGAGAGGGAGGGACTAGAGCGTGCTTGAGAGGGAGGGACTTAGAGCGTGCTTGAGGAGGGACTCGAGGCGTGCTTGAGAGGGAGGGACTTAGAGCGTGCTTGAGAGGGAGGGACTTAGAGCGTGCTTGAGAGGAGAGGGGAGGGACTTAGAGCGTGCTTGAGAGGGGAGGACTTAGAGCGTGCTTGAGGAGGGGAGGGACTTAGAGCGTGCTTGAGAGGGAGGGACTTAGAGCGTGCTTGAGAGGGAGGGACTTAGAGCGTGCTTGAGAGGGGAGGGACTTAGAGCGTGCTTGAGAGGGAGGGACTTAGAGCGTGCTTGAGAGGGAGGGACTTAGAGCGTGCTTGAGAGGGGGGGACTTAGAGCGTGCTTGAGAGGGAGGGACTTAGAGCGTGCTTGAGAGGGAGGGACTTAGAGCGTGCTTGAGAGGGAGGGACTTAGAGCGTGCTTGAGAGGGAGGGACTTAGAGCGTGCTTGAGAGGGGAGGGACTTAGGGAAGGGACTTAGAGCGTGCTTGAGAGGGGAGGGACTTAGAGCGTGCTTGAGAGGGGAGGGACTTAGAGCGTGCTTGAGAGGGAGGGACTTGGAGCGTGCTTGAGAGGGAGGGACTTAGAGCGTGCTTGAGAGGGAGGGACTTAGAGCGTGCTTGAGAGGGAGGGACTTAGAGCGTGCTTGAGAGGGAGGGACTTAGAGGGTGCTTGAGAGGGGAGGGACTTAGAGCGTGCTTGAGAGGGAGGGACTTAGAGCGTGCTTGAGAGGGAGGGACTTAGAGCGTGCTTGAGAGGGAGGGACTTAGAGCGTGCTTGAGAGGAGAGGGACTTAGAGCGTGCTTGAGAGGGGAGGGACTTAGAGCGTGCTTGAGAGGGAGGGACTTAGAGCGTGCTTGAGAGGGAGGGACTTAGAGGGTGCTTGAGAGGGGAGGGACTTAGAGCGTGCTTGAGAGGGAGGGACTTAGAGCGTGCTTGAGAGGGAGGGACTTAGAGCGTGCTTGAGAGGGAGGGACTAGAGCGTGCTGAGAGGGAGGGACTTAGAGCGTGCTTGAGAGGGAGGGCTTAGAGCGTGCTTGAGAGGGAGGGACTTAGAGCGTGCTTGAGAGGGAGGGACTTAGAGCGTGCTTGAGAGGGAGGGACTTAGAGCGTGCTTGAGAGGGAGGGACTTAGAGCGTGCTTGAGAGGGAGGGACTTTGAGCGTGCTTGAGAGGGGAGGGACTTAGAGCGTGCTTGAGAGGGAGGGACTTAGAGCGTGCTTGAGAGGGAGGGACTTAGAGCGTGCTTGAGAGGGAGGGACTTAGAGCGTGCTTGAGAGGGAGGGACTTAGAGCGTGCTTGAGAGGGAGGGACTTAGAGCGTGCTTGAGAGGGAGGGACTTAGAGCGTGCTTGAGAGGGGAGGGACTTAGAGCGTGCTTGAGAGGGGAGGGACTTAGAGCGTGCTTGAGAGGGAGGGACTTAGAGCGTGCTTGAGAGGGAGGGACTTAGAGCGTGCTTGAGAGGGAGGGACTTAGAGCGTGCTTGAGAGGGGAGGGACTTAGAGCGTGCTTGAGAGGGGAGGGACTTAGAGCGTGCTTGAGAGGGAGGGACTTAGAGCGGGCTTGAGAGGGAGGGACTTAGAGCGTGCTTGAGAGGGGAGGGACTTAGAGCGTGCTTGAGAGGGAGGGACTTAGAGCGTGCTTGAGAGGGGAGGGACTTAGAGCGTGCTTGAGAGGGAGGGACTTAGAGCGTGCTTGAGAGGGAGGGACTTAGAGCGTGCTTGAGAGGGAGGGACTTAGAGCGTGCTTGAGAGGGAGGGACTTAGAGCGTGCTTGAGAGGGGAGGGACTTAGAGCGTGCTTGAGAGGGGAGGGACTTAGAGCGTGCTTGAGAGGGAGGGACTTAGAGCGTGCTTGAGAGGGAGGGACTTAGAGCGTGCTTGAGAGGGGAGGGACTTAGAGCGTGCTTGAGAGGGAGGGACTTAGAGCGTGCTTGAGAGGGAGGGACTTAGAGCGTGCTTGAGAGGGAGGGACTTAGAGCGTGCTTGAGAGGGGAGGGACTTAGAGCGTGCTTGAGAGGGGAGGGACTGCAGGCACGGCTGCAGTGCAGGGAGTGGAAGCAGAGCGCTGAAAACACACGGCTCTTATTAAAACAGCGCTTTCTCACCGGAGTACTTTCCCCCGTCGTTCTTAAAGTACCGATACTAATGAAACGGAGGAATCGTAACGTTTTTAACGGCAGGGTATCGCGGTACCTTTCAAGTATCGGTACACCGTGCAACACTAGTGTGTGTGTGATAACGACTAGTCGGTCTGCAGATTTAGCAACATCAGATCTGCTTACACACACCCACCCACCTGACTGTCGGTAACAGCAGTGATACCTGATCTCTGTTCTGCGCACTTTATTTTTGGACTGAACTTTATATTAAACTTAAACCACACTTGTCGTTCTAACTCGCTGTTTGTTCTCCTCCTCAGATTGCAAAGGAGCATGGCATTAGGTTTTTTGAGACGAGTGCTAAGGCCAACGTCAGCATCGAGAAGGCTTTCCTCACGTTAGCAGAAGACATCCTCAGAAAGGTGAGTGTATGTGATCGATAATGATTTTTTTTTTGTGGCTCAATAGTATTTCCTGGGATACCTGGATAACTTCAAATAAGATAACACTTTGTTTACCTCTGAGTAAAATGACTGTGTAGCAATGCAAAGTAGGTACAGTGAAAATGTATAGTGCAAATATACAACTCTAAAATACCTAATGTATTTATTGTTGTCTTTTATAGATTGAATAAGGGAGAACAATAAATGTGTTTATCTGTATTTATAAAATCTAAATGTATCTATCTGTATTATTAGTATTCACAATACTCTCCAAGAAGCAATTTAATAGCTTTGCTCTTCTAGGAAAAGCTCATTTAGCTCCAGTCAGATGCTAACTGTGTTGCTACTTGTAAGTGTATCAAATGTGTTGATGTTACGCCCCTGATAAAAGGGAAGAATTTTGACAAGAGTCAAAGTTAGGTTTCATTCTCCGGTACTTTACTCGAGTCAGTCAACAAATGCACCACCTTTCATAGCACATACAACTTGGCTATTAACACTGTATTTCAATCATGAAACTTCTTAATTACAACAATATAATTGATAAGATTATATAATTGACAACATAACAGAACCCTCACAGAATTATTTAACTAAAATATAAAGACAACATATTACATATAACTGTGTTATACACAATACACAAGATGGCGGCAAATGCGCGCTACGCAGTGTTTGTTCATGTAACCATGTAGACGTTACTACACACATTCTCAGCCATCACACACATCAGCCCAAGCCGATAAAACGTAATAATAACACACTCACTATTTCACACAACCGCTTTAAAACACTCCTTACACATGTTATGTTATAGTTTGGCCCAATTTGTTATGTTTTTGTACTATCTACATACCTGATAAAAGGGAAGAATTTTGACAAGAGTCAAAGTTAGGTTTCATTCTCCGGTACTTTACTCGAGTGAGGAAAGTACCGCAAAAACCCCCAGATATGTGGGCGGAGACAAGAGCAATCGATCTCCGTCTCCCAGATCAAGGCCATCTAGTCGATCACAGTTTAACAGATCACACGTCTCCAAAACAAATACAAACAAGCGCAGACAGAATACCTTCTCATCCTTTCCAAACATCCTACAATTAAACTACATTAACAAAGGTCAAAGGTAACAGTTAAAATACTGTCAATGTTACAAAAACAATCTATTACATTGACAGTTGGTCTAAAACTTAAGATGTCAATTATAATATTAAAAAATGGCGAATCTCACACTTTGCCCACGTTATAAAAGTTAAAGAAGTAAGTCGAGGGAAAGTCAGTGTTTTTATTACTTGTGTTCACTTGTCATTTTAAGCTAGATAATAAGTCGATCCCTTACTGTGAAAATTAACATAATAATCATGATTCAAAGATCAACATTAATAGGAACAGGTGATGAAATAAACAAAAAGACAATCTACATGGTTTCTCTGGGTATAAAGGAATTCTGTTAAACCAAAAATTCCCTCGTTGACGATTTTAATGTGATGATGAAGACTTTTAGAAGCTTGAAATGATTAGTTGAGGTACCTTGAAAGAGCTCTTAAAAAGCTGTACCATCGTTATAATTACTCATATCTTTTTTTATGTGTGTTTGGTTCGACAGACGCCTGTAAAAGAGCCCAACAGTGAAAACGTGGACATCAGCAGCGGAGGTGGAGTCACAGGCTGGAAGAGCAAGTGCTGCAGTTGAACAAGTCCTCGGTTTCACTCTCACACACACTAACGCACACACACCAACACACACACACACACACACACACACACACACACACACACACACACACACACACACACACACACACACACACACACATTCTGTTTTCTCTCTCTAACGGCTAACTCTAACTCTCTCGCTCTCTAACCTGTCTCATGAGTTTTTCTTGCACACTGACACTCTCTGTCTCTTTATCAGAATAAAACAATAAACCACTTCACTCTCTAATCCCCCCTCCCCCCCTGCACCATATTCTTCCACTCTCCATCTGATGATCATTTTTATTTCTGATAAAAAGAGAAATCCAGTCACGTTTCTTGTCATATGTTTTAAAAGTTGTTTAAAAAAAAAAGATGAAAAAAAAGATAAAGAAATAATGTGTGAAAAGACAAGCTCATATTTTTAATATTTCCTTTGCCTGAGCTCACCTGGTTGGACACCCCCACCCTTAACCCCACCCTCACCCCCAAACCACGTCACTCACTTTCGGTCAGAGGAAATCTAAATAAAACAAAAACAAAAAAAGACAAATGTAGGATTAACATTTTGTACACTTTTCTGTTGTCTAACCGTATTTGGTCATTTACAATTTGTTACCAAGTGACAGAGGCGTGGCTAGCTCCTTTTGTATGTGGGGGTTTATTTTTGTCCTGTGCCTTATATGGAAGACAGGGGCGGGGCTAGTGTTGTGGGCGGGGCCACATCCACCCAATGAAATAACAGTTTAATAATCTGTCGGCTCTGTCACGAGGACGCCGCAACTGAAGCGGAACGTTTGAATTTCTCCTCCAGCCAAGAGAACGGCATTATTCAGTATGTCCTGTTATTGATGTTTTTATTATTATCTGTATGATTTATTTTACTTATTTTTTTTTCCTATTTGGGTTTGATTTATTTTTATTTTGTTTGCTGCATGCAGATTTCTTTGGGTTGGAAGCGTTTCTTGTAACGTTGTGTAACGTTTGCCACTGGGTAACTGTGGGCGGGAGGTACACAAGTTCTCTTTGGAAATTCAAACAGTTTTGCAGATCCATTAAAAATAAGCTTGTTTAAGTTAACTTGTTTTGTCCTCAATGATGTGTTCTTTCATGTGTCCTTTCATGTCTAATTATTATTGAAAATACTGTCCGTTTGAGGGCTTAACACTCAGGGAAACTTTGAATTATGATATTTAATTTGAGGGACTTATTGCATCATTCTCAATTTAATTTCATGAAAAAGTACAGTGTCGAAAATATGAGTCATAGTAGACTTTGAGCTGTCTTGGCTTTGCAACAGATTGATGCATAGAGGCGAAGTCCCGCCCATCTAAATGTTACTTTTCGAAAGATTATTTCGATCCCCTTTGAATTGTGCCACGAATTACACATGTTTGTCAATCTTAAATAATTTCCATGTCAAAAAAGTCAGTTTGTCGTAAAACTGTTGAAATATAAGACAATGAAAAATACGCAACTAGAAAGACTACAAATCCCAGAGTCCGGTCCCGCATGCTGGCTCTCACGGAACCGACTAACTCCCCTTGTGTGTATGTGCAGCTCTCAACGTGCCCAGACTTGGAGTGATTTTCACCTCGTTTAATACTTTTCGCCTCATTCTGAGAGAACGAAGTGAAATGTGTCAACGGGACGGCCGTCTTGGTGTGTGGAGCGAGACATTTAAAAAAATGTTGACTTGCAAAATGATCTTTTAAATTGACAAACATGTGTAATTCATGGCACAATTCAAACGGGATCGAAAGATAATCTTTCTCTCCATTGACTTCAATACATACTTTTTCCGAAATAAGGTCCCATGGAGGTCCCCCGGAAAGGGAGGGACTTCGCCTCTATTGCCTTTGAATGCAACATTTATATTGACGTTTTCTGGCACTTTTAGTCATAAACAGATTGGATAATATTGCATTATGCTACTACACTAAACAAGGACACATTTATATTGGACTCCTGAATTTGCATTGACAAAAAACATTCAATTCCAATCAAAAAAAGGACACCCTCCTTGTTTGATGTAGTTAGGAGAATGTGTGTGTGTGGAGCCCCCTGCTGGCACATTAATGAACTGTTAGTTGGAGCTCTAATATAAAAAGTAGAATAATTATCACAACACAACAGGTGCCCATATAAAAGGAATTTTGTCGTTGACATTCTTTATTTATCACCCTCTACCTCCCGCAGCAACAATGTACACAAATATAATTCTCTCACTTACAAAGAAAAGACAGAACCAGTGCAGAATGTCAGTGGTCACCATAAAGTCCATAACTACATTCAAAGATCTTTTCCTAAAACACAAAGATAAAGTACAGCAGGTTACACAATCAGCAGTTCTCTCCACCGTCACTCCGGTTTCTTTTTTTAATAAATCAATACACAGGCACAACAAAAACTCAACACACGACAGTCAGCTGTAGTGATTTTCAACAACAGGAAGTGAAGCCTCTGCTCACACATAATGTAAAGTACTACGGGATGGAGTGGTTAGGCATGATGGGTAATAATAACATGTGATTGTTATTTTTAAATGTGGAGAATTACATGAACTACATGTTGCTAAATCCACCACGGGGCATAAACAGAAGGGCAACCATGGCAACCGTGCTCGGGGGGGGGTTTTCTTCGCTGCTTTTGGTATTGGTATTTTGTGGCGCCGCTTACAGGCCCGGCATATGGGTTAGTGCCATGGGATAGTGCTAGATCGTATACCTCCTGGGTTTTAGGCGGAAGTGACAACCTGTATATGTACTACAGCGTATCCAGCGCTTTCGAGCGGTCTCGTGTGAACGGAAGACTTTTTTGATATCGTATTCGGTTCATTTGCGTGTAAATGGGGTCTAACGGCCCGTCCACACTACAGCTTCGACAGCTTCAAAAACGGTTTCCAACGCGTCTGCCCATTCACTTTGAATGGGGTGACGTCACTTTTCGCCGAACTGCATTGTGGGAAGCAGAGCGGAGCTTTCCTGGCTGCAAAAGTTGAGCAATGTTCAACTTTTGCAGCTTCTGAAGCTTTCTGTGGAAGCGTCAGCCAATCAAATCATATGCCGGTACAAGCTCTAGCCAATCAAACCGCTGCTTGTGTGTCAGGGGCGGGAGATTCAAGTGATTGGTTGTTGGTCGAGCTTCAGACACGCCCAATTTGAAGCTGTAGTGTGGACGGGCCGTTAGTACTTTGGTGGAGACGAGTATAAAAGTCTGAATGCTGAGGGGTTAACAACAATACTTAAAAGTTCTGTGATTTAGTGTTTTGAGACAGAAGAGCAACATTAACTGGAATCAGCAGCAGTGACAGAGGGCCTGCCCTAAAAGAAAAGAAATCAGCTGACAGGGAAGATAAACTATTTACATCAACTGTATAATTTATAAATACATTTTAAGTATAAATTAGAAAAATAAAACAAACCCTACTGTAGTTCAATCAGCTACTGCTACTCTCATTTTTAAAATGATTATTAACCCTCTGTATATTTGGTGGAAGATAATTTAAAAAAAGGCACAGCAATGAATTAGAGCGATTTATCCCTGCAAATGTCTACCAGTCACAAAACTAAATCCCCATTTCAACAGAAATTAAAATATAAATTAACGTTCTAACCTTTAAATGAAATACAAACAATCCCCACACTCAAACAGCAGCTACACTAGCATCACCAGTTACAATTTCTTAAATAAATTAAGGCTTGTTTGCGTACCGTCATCAAAGAGAGCACCCTGATTTAACTCAGCTTTCTATTCTTCAGGCAGCAAACATCGTACAGTCGCTTTCAAACATCCAGAGCTCATTCGGATTTCTGCTGAGAGTTGGATGAGCAGAGCGATACCATTTATGTCTGAAGAGCTGTACCGGAAGTCCTTTCTTTTGAGGGTTTCAAATATAGCTCTGAATGTCTACAGTCATTTTTTTGTTCACGTTTAAATACTAAATTTGACTTTTAGACTCGACAATGCTCGGAAATTATTGAAAATGTTCGGCTCACCGATGCAATACGGTTCAACAAACAGTATAGGACTAATAATATCAGTGTAGTTTTATCTCTATCTGCAACTGTGCAGAAAAAACAGGTTTTGAAGAGATGAATAGACCTGCAGGGAAACCCCACAACTGAACAGCATTTAAATGTAGATTCAGAAATTGAATGTCAACGATATAAATGAAGCCTACTTATTTTCCGTGAACTGTAGTATTGATCTAATGCTTGGCAAAAATGGAATAAGTGTGTTTTCCTGTCTCCTCTCCTCTCCTCCATTAGTCTCTAAATGTACAGCAAGTCTCGGCCCTCCGTCGCTGAGCTCCCAGCAGCCACCTGGGCCTCAGACTCCGCCTCCTCCCCCTCGTAGCTCTCGTACTCGATGGGCTTGGGGCAGCTGTACGGGTGGCCGTTGTCGTCGAAGAAGCGGCGGAAGGTGAACTCGTAGAAGGCGTGTTCGGGGTGTTTTCCGTTGCGGAACCAGCCGTTGAGCGTGTCGTTGAGGTTGTCCTCTCCGTCGCTGTCGCTGCTCCACATTTTATCGGGGTCCACGGGGTCGAAGTTGGAGGTGTCCGTGGAGTGAGCGATGGTGGGGACGTACGGCGCCGCCTGTTGCCGCAAGTCGCTGGAGAAATCAATGTTCTGGAAGAAGGGATGAGCTTTGATCTCGTCGGCGCCGCCCTTCCCCACGCGGTCCTCCGGGCTGCGGCACAACTTCACGATGAGATCCGACGCCTCGGGGCTGAGCTTGGCCAGCGGGGGAATGTTCAGCATGTTCTTCCAGTTTATCACCTGGTGACAGAGACGACAGTGAGGAACAATGCAGACTGAAGACGCATCACATTTCTCTGCGGGAGCTTCACATACCTTCATCTGCGTCTCCACAGGCGTGTTCGCCAAGAAGGGAGGCTGTCCGACAACCATCTCATACAGGATGACGCCCACACTCCACCAATCACACAGCTGGGTGTAGCCTGCAGGAGATTTAGGACATTCTTACATCAACAACATCTGTCAGCAATGTTTTAAATCAGGGGGCCAGATACAGACAAATATACGAAGGGCTGGGCCGCTCACTTGAGGTATACTGCCTCATAAGTTCAGTTATAAGTTAGCATGTCATGCTTTTCCGGTTATCACCCGTCCCCTTGTGTGTTATGAAGGTTTTTCTGCATGTAAACGGTCTGCAGAGTCACAAACCCTCAAAGTACACCCTGTAGCGAGTAAAACTCTAACACAGGAAAGACCTGTCTATGCTGCCTCAGAACGCCTCGCTGGACATTTCTCTTTTTCCATTGTTTGCTTCCTGGGTATAGTGACGTAACTATACGTAATGGCCGCGGAGCCGTTACATTTGGACCAATCAGCGGACTTCCTCACACACACACACACACACACTCGGCTGGACGTTGCGAGGCTCGCTGCTGCGAGGAGCGGGACACTGTGAGCTGGCTCACTGGTGTGGGGTCTGCGAGACAGCGAGACACCGCGGAACTCAGCCTGAGCACACACACAAACTCCCAGCCAGGCTGCGGGTGTGTGTGTGTTCGGGCTGGGTTTCGCTGTGTCTCGCTGTCTCGCAGACGGCCACTGGGCTCACAGGGAGGGGGCAGGAGCTCCAACAAGCCGTGTAGGACAGAGAGTGAATACACATACTATACAGAGATGCTGTGAGAAACCAATGTGAGTTTGGAAAATTACAAAATATAAATGTTTTCTAGTAGAGCTCAACAATGGAATTATGACCAGTAGAAATGGCCATGACATGAGACCTTTACGTAATTGGGCTTTTTGTTATCAACTGACTGAATTTGTTTGAAAATATGTCTTATTAACACATGAATACTGTGTGATATATGTTTACATATATATTTAAGAAGTACAATATAAGACAAGCACAAGTTTAATCTGTGGGCCGTATTCCATTACACTTTTTTAATGTGCTGAGGGCCGATTCAAAATGGTCCGCGAGCCGCATTTGGCCCCCGGGCCGTAGTTTGGACACCCCTGTTTTAAATGTTACATTCACTTTTGAAGATACATTCTATTATCTGTCAAGAATACAAATGACTAATGAATTGCATTCAAATCAACATTGCAGCGTAACATAAAGCAATGATCGTATGACCGTTTACTTTATGCTTCTTGAGAAGACAGTTGGCTCCCCTATATCCTTCAGTCCTTGTTCAAACTTTAGTAACAAGACAATACACATTCTGGAAAGACAGTAGTAATAAAGTGAGTTTCAGGGTATCCTCTGTACCTGTTCGGAGCAGCACTTCTGGAGCGATGTAGTTGGGCGTCCCGACCAGAGAGTGGGCCAGACAGCGCTGGTGCTCCCGGGCCTTCCTCCGCTCCAGAGGCTTCAGGCGCTCCGTGCAGCGGCAGTCTGCCGCGTCCTCCCACTCCTTACTGAAGTCCATGCTGTCCTGCCTCACATGGTCACCTGGAGACACACCAAACATCATTAAACCCATCAGCTGGGTTCTGTTTTCACAGGCATGTGAATTAATAAAAGGAAGGGTGTAAATGTAAACAACTTGATATGGTCCCTACATTTAGTATTTTCCATAATATTCACTGAATGACTTTCTGGTCAGTTTTTGAAAGCTAATAGCTGTTTGGTATTGAAATGTCGATACACCCCAAAATCGTATTCATTTCATACTGAAAGGAAATCAAAAGAGACATGTATTCTTGGCAGGAGGAACACGCTGACAATTATACAAAGCTGCTTGTGTTCTGCTGAATACTTTGAAATATTTTTTTAATTACTTATATATCTAGGGATGGGTACCGAGCCCCGGGGCTGAATTATTAAAGACCGTGGTACCGTTAAGCTCCGACGTTATCGGTCTTTTTATCGGTACTGGAGACATGTAAAACATATCTCGTGTATTATTGCTACACAAACATTATATTGCAGTTTTAGTTTCGCCAACTCCGTTTCTAATATGCAAAAAGACGTCTATGATTATTTTTAGTATTTTCGATCTTTCCAATCCAGACGAGATCTCTCCCCGTCTGTGTGCGAGGGGGCGGGGCAACACACACACACAGCTGCTACATGCAGCAACACACACACACGGAGGAGATGGCGGAGAGAACGCGCTCCGAGGTGTGGTTAAACTTTACCCGTCTCGATGCGGACAATGCTCGTTGCCTAAAGTGCAATAAGAGTTTAGCGCGTAAGGGCGGGAACACGAGCAATGTGTCTAAACATTTATCAAAAGTGCACCGCATGCAGACGGAGGAATGTACCGGGTTCGACTGTCTTTCTAGCAGCTCTGTAGCCCCATCCACGAGTAACGTTTCCACGTCAGGTGTTATGTATGCTAGCAGCAACACACGGAGTTAACTACATTATACAAACATGGGGTAATGATTAGAGGAAACTGAGTTATTTAGTTTGTTAAAGTTTCAGCTATTCTGTTCACAGTTCTGTCATCAGAGTATTTAATACGATTTATTAAAACACTGTTGTTTCTTTTGATGTGAAATATTATTTATTTTATTTAAATAATAAGCAATGTTAGTTTTGTTCACAATTTGTTTACATTATTTTTTTCTCCAAAAGAACCGATAAGAGTAAAAAGTAAAAGGACCGGATCGATAAAAGTAGTAGTACCGTAAAAACCTTAACGATACCCATCCCTACTTATATCACTGTTTTTACATGGATGAAATGTAGATTCAGAGAGACCTTCATTTTTATGGCTTATCATACCATGCCTTGTTTTTATATTTTGAAATACTATGAACACGAGTCATTATACTACATGTGGTCCAGCGCTCTAATACACTCTTTTTGTACTCTAGAGCAGGGGTTCCCAAACTTTTCGACCCCCAAAATAACAGTGCCAGAGACTGGCGACCCCCTGTCAACGGGGAGGGGGGGGTGAATTAATTTAAGTTTTCCCGCACTCTCGCGGGAAAATCTCCGCAATGGAGCGAGCTTAAGTTTTGATTGCATGATATAGCCCAGCGCAACACCTTCGTCGCACATGCTGCCACTTGTTTTTACCATTTTCAGGCGATTTGTAATCTGTTCTAGAAAAACGATGTGTTTTTTAGGATTTCAAGAAGCATATAGAACAAACAATGGATGTCTTTTATGAACATTTATCCATTTAGATGTGTTCGGAGTGAGATAGATTATTATCTAATACATGCACCCGATGAAGCATTGTATTGTCTGTTGATGATCAGAGGCTGTTGTTGGGGCCATGCAGGCCTCAGAGTTAAACTTGACCAGTTTTACTGTATTTTGTTTTGAAAATCCACAGCGGAGGTTTGTGTCGTACTACATGCGGTGTATTTTGCATCTCTCTCAGTAGCCAACGATCTGAGAGTCTGTTGGCTCGGACATAAACTCCGTAATAAATGTAGTCTACATTTCATAAGAGGTGTAAAACCTGTGAGCATTTTAAATCGCATTTGAACTAAATGCTTATATAATCTGTAGTTGTATTTGTATTGTTGATTTAATGTGTGAACGAGGCGATACAGAGAAGGCTAAGCTGTCATTATTAGGCTGTAATGTTGGAGAGGTAAGCAGGCCTATTGTTTCTGGATATTTGTGGAGTCAGGTCCGCGAGTGTTTTTTTATTGGTGAAGTGTCCTTGGTATGAAAAAGTTTGAGAAACACTGCGCTAGTGGATTGTCAAAGGGGGAGCCTCGTTGCGGGCAAATTATACAGATGGCTAGTCCGCCCCTGAAAAATGTCTATGCACACGTTATTAATAAAAAAATTAAATAACATTTTTTTATGACTTTTTAATTTATTTTTATTTTGTAATCATCTCACGACCCCCACTCGGGGTCTCGCGACCCCCACTTTGGGAACCCCTGCTCTAGAGGGTGAATTAAACACTCTTAACTGTTAAATATAAGAAATGTAACACCCACCACTCTGGTAATACTTGGAGTCGTGCGTCCAGCGGAAGCCGGTGCACAGGCCGAAGTCGGTCAGTTTGATGTGTCCGTCCCGGTCTATGAGGATGTTGTCGGGCTTGATGTCTCGGTGGATGAAGCCCATCTTGTGGACGCTCTCCACGGCGCAGGTGAGCTCGGCGATGTAGAACTGGGCGAGTTCTTCTTTGAAGATTCCCAGCCGGATGAGGAGGCTCATCATGTCTCCTCCGGGGATGTACTCCATGACAAAGTACAGGTTGTCCCTGTCCTGGAAGGAGTAGTAGAGACGCACCACCCACTCGTTGTCGGCCTCGGCCAGGATGTCCCTCTCAGCCTTCACGTGGGCCACCTGGTTCCTCAGCAGCACGTCCTTCTTGCGGAGCGTCTTCATGGCGTACAGCGCTCCGGTGTCCTCTTTTCTGGCCAGGCACACCTCTCCAAACGCTCCGATGCCGAGCATCTTGATTCGTTTGAACATGGATTTGTCCATCTTGGCTCGCTTTAGCCGGATGTAGTTGGACTCTTTCTGGCAGAGCATCATGCGCATCTGCTCCTGAGCTTCTGAAGACAAGCCCACCTGAGCACAGGACAGTCAGGAGTGATTCAAATGGCCCACATCATGTCAACAAAAAGGTTGAATTGAAACACAAATGGAGTCCTGGTTAGAATAAGTTATAAACTGGCATTAAGGGAATCCTCTGAGGACACGGTGCACACATGCTGTTTAACCTTCAATTTAGTCCCAAACGAAGATGTGTGAGATGGAGTGGCATGCATTTCCTTTGGCCACATGCTGCATTATGCACATTTATAAAACCACTAGACTCTTAACAACAGCTCTCTTGAATAACTGAAGTGTGTGGACTACTCTGTGTCACAAGACAGCACAGATACCTTTACCTTTTTAGTTCAGCTGTTAGTGACCGCAAGGAGAGAGAAGGAGAGAAAGAACAGCTAAGAGATATAGAACAGACACGTATAATACAGCGATGATAGCAGGGGGAAAGTTTGGAAAGAGTAGAACGTATTTCTTTAGGCAGCAACATTTGTATTTGTTTAACTTCATAAGAAATGATGAAGGATATTCCTCACCCTTTGCATCTCACTTTCCAGCTGCTTCCTCCTCCGAATCCTCGTCTGGTGGTTCTTGAGGATGTTCTCCACATGCTGCTCCATGAAGAACTTGAAGGCCTGGGGGGAGTACAGAGCGACTCGTCCTGACTCCCCTCTCGGCTCTTCGTCCCTCTTGTTGCGTCGCACGGGAACGGGTGACGTCGTGATTTGCTTCTTCTCCTTCTCCGTGGCGCTTTCTGTGGTTTTGTCCCGGGAGCCGTCGTTGCTGCTGCTCTCCGCCTCAGCCGCCTCCTCTCGGCCTGAGTTGCGCTTGTTGACCCCCGGGTCGTAGGCAGGTGGGGCGGATGCAGCCTGCTGTTGGAGGAGATGCTTGGGGTAAGGTGGAGGGGGGCCCTGGTAGCTCGGGACCTCTGCTACAACAGCGATCTGGGGTACAGGGGCTGGGGGTTCTGGGTAAGCAGGAGCAGCTTGAAGGGGTGGGGGCGGCTGCTGCATCCATGGAGGGTGCGTGGGGGCGACGGCAGTGTGGAGCTCAGGTTTCTGCACACGGATGCTTTTGACCGGCTGCAGGATGGGGGCCTGTGTGATGGCCGTGACGGTGGTGGCGGAGGGCTGGGAGCTGGACTGGTGGGCCGCCCTGCTGTTCAGCTGGTGGTTGTTGAAGGAGTTGGAGCGGGGGGGCACGTTGTGTTGCCACGACGGAGACAGGTCCTGGGTGCTGCTGTTTCCAGAGGGCTGGCTGGGGGCCCAGGACTGAGGAAGACCTATGTTGTACAGGTCAAGGTTGTAACTGTGCCTGTTGGACACCATCATGGACGTAGGGATGTTTCCACCGTTGGCGTACGAGGGAGAGGAGGCGGGTCCTCCTGACTGCTGATCCGTGGGACTGTGCCTGCTCTGGTTGACCGCGTACGGAGGGGGGGGCTGTCTGCTGCCAGCCGGGATGTAGTCCGGCTGGGCGGAGCCATTCTGAGACCAGCTGGGGGGGGGGGAAGGTGAACTTGTTGCCCCCAGAGCTTTGCATTATGATGGGTTGGTGACCCACAGGGGACCGGGCTGATCCCACGCTGATTCTGAGGGGCTGATGACTGGTACCCGTCAGGCCAGGCCCCCGGAGGCCCCGGAGAGATGCGGGCCCCGAGGTAATCCATGTTGCCGGAGTAGCGCTTGGTTGATGGGTCCCAGGATGATGTATTAGGCACGGCGCAGCGGTTGGGAGGAGGTGTGACACTGCGCACCTGAGGCGGGAGGGGAGGGTTCACTCTCTGGTTGTTAGCGGGGGGAAAGGAGGGAGGGGGCCCCGGGCTGTCTGAGCGGTATATCACTCCATCCACTATGACGTGACGAGGGGCCAAAGACTCCTTAGAGCCTTTCCAGCTCGGCCTCCTCAGCACAGGCTGCGAGATGTGAGAACTTCCTACAGACACACACAAAGGAAAAGAATACAAATAGTTATACATCTTAGAAACTAAAATAAATAGGTAGAACTATGTTTTTGTACACACTTTAAAATGTGTAAAATGCATACATGAACACAAATAACTGATGTCCTCTCACACACCAGAGTCATGTTCACAATACAACAAAAAAAACTTTAAGAATTTCCTAAATCAAAGTGGTATGTTTACAAGAAAAATGTAGAAGATTAAAAAGATTAGAACATTGGTAAATTAACAAGAAAAAAGTCCTTTAAAAAACTTGAATATTCTTTGAGATCATTATTACAAAATGTACGGGTACTATTTAAAAAAAAAATCCACCAGTATTGATTAAAAAAGAAGAAGGAGCACCGCTGTAAAACAAGACTTGTCAAAAGACACAACAACAAAAGGAAAATAATGTTTTTTTATTTTAATAAAAGGTAAAGCAAATGTTATATCTATATATAACACTGCTGGTAATGATACCAGCAGTGCTCCTGTCAATGCATCATGATTGAAAACAAAAACCTAATTTCCACTCTACTTTTTTCCATTATGTGATACAGTGACTCATTCTCTTATTGTCAGCGTCATTTCTTTAAGCAAATGTTCCAAATCCTGCCAACAATATCAAGGTTAGATGAAAACGCCCGGAAAGGGAATAGAGAGAGCCTCGCATTGAGTCCCAGTGGACGGTTACATACCTGGGGCTTTCAGACCGGTAGAGTTGGGGTTGGCAGCAAGCTTCTGTTCCCTCATCGGGTCCTGGTAGATCACCTTACCACTGTAGTCTATAACTGCCCCCATACTGCGACTGTTGCTCTGTTTACAAAAGGCATACAAACAACAGTTAACATTAAGAGTTTGGGCAATCAAAGCTTGAATATCTGTGAATACATTTATTGCTTGTTTTGCTAACAGTTCATTCATGCATCTTTACAGTCTTGCAATGTAGATGGACCAAAAGAGAACAAGTATTTTACTTATGGATTTATCTGTACATTCTTTTTTGGATTATTCAATTAATTGTTTTGTCTATAAAACTTTTTTTTTGTACCAAAACAAACAGTCAAAAAGCCAGAGATATTCCGTTCACAATGAAATAAAACAAATTCTGACATTCGAGAAGCCCCAACAAGACATTGCTTTGTTTAATTATTCATTTATAAGAACAATGGAAAATTGTCTCCAACTAATTTAATAGTTATTTATGAACTAAACATTTGCTCCAACTAAAAATAGTGCACTGCATATGCCAGGGTGCATTCTCTGAGTCAAAACAAGTGGCGACTGCCAACTAAAAAAGTACTTTGTATTGTCAGTCACCTGACAAGCTCGAAATTCCACTTTGCATATTTCTAATTTTTCAAATAAGTCTTCAGTAAACAAAGTGCACTTATTCTCTATAACAGAGTTATGTTTAGAATCAAATTCCTCCACAAACACCAGTCTGAGTGACAAATAAAAGACGAAAACATCTTACCTCGTCGAACCCAGCGCAGGGACTTTCCAGAGACATGTGTTTGTTCCCCTCAGGTCCTGAAGTACTCGGCTCATTGGCAAAAGGCATCAGGGACTTGCGGATCTCCTGTAAGGCCTTGTGGTAGGGGTGTTTGGGGTTGCTGCATCGCCCCTGTTGCCTTGAGTCCTCCGGAGGCATTTTTACAGCTCCTCCAGAGTCTGCTTTAGGGGGGTCCGATTGTCTGGATAAATTGCGCAGACTGTTCCTTATTTCCTGCAGCATGTGTTGGCTGTTGGCGCTGTAGTTGCTGGCAGGAACGTTTTGGGTCTCGCCTGTCTGTATCCTTCGGGTTTCTCCCCTCTCTTCATGTAAGAGCATGTATGATGACGATGAAGGGGATGAAGAGGATGCCACTCAGTCCAGCGTAGCAGTAAAGGGTAGCAGGATGGCTGCACTCACATCTGCATGCTGCTGACAGGAATGTACAATATGAGATGAGCAAGCAACCAAAACACACATCATGTTACCAAACAGGTCAGGCATATATGATGTGTGGAAGTACTAATTGACAGATAGTATCAGGTAAACAATAGCAAAGATGAGGCAAACTGTATGATCAAATGAACCTATATTGTTAACAGTAATTCATTAGATTAACTTAAGTACAATTTTGAGAAATGTTTGCTACTTTGTACTTTTGTCCTTCTAGCCAACCACAAATCACAGGTAAATTGTGTACTTTTATTCCACTACATAATAGAAATACCTTCACTTACTTTTCAAATGTGGATTAATGATATGAAATAGATAAACACTTAAATCAGACTTTAGTTACACCTGGAGTAACATCCAAACTACACTGCAGCATATATAGTCATTAAAACTAGCTGCACCTTTACCAGCTTTGATAACACTTTAATGCATCAATATTTATAATCAAAAACAAATCAATATATTCTTTTTGAAATGGGCACATTTGCATAATTATTACTTAAGTATAAGTAGGTCTATATTTAGATGCTTGTACTTTTATACTTTTACTTCATTGGGATTTTGAATTCAGGATATTACTTATAACAGAGTATTCCTACACTTTGGTACTTCTATTTTTACTTAAGTAAAAGGTCTGAGTACTTCTCCCACCACTGATTCACGTTAAGGTTCCCTCGTTATTCAAACCTTAAGGTTAAGAAAGATTCCTCAGAATAAAGACTATTCCCAAAACAAAACACCTGCCTGTACACTTGCTAGCTTCGTTAGCAGCACAGGCTAACACAGCGCTACACTACAGCTCATTCACGAGTGGAGTGAAATAAAATGCTAGAATTGTTTCACACATTCACCTAAATGACTTTTACTTTTACAATGTTCTCCCAATATTACAATTTAACTTTGAATATAATCCAATAGTGCAGAAGCACATCCATGGCCTGTGTAAAAGGCATCCATTTGCTGCTATGCTAACTAGCTGCTAGCTCGGAACAGCAACAGTTAGATAGCCGTTAGCCGCGTCTGACAACTTACCAATATCTGTAAAATCCGCTTTTTTTTTACACTTGTACTTCTTTGGCAACGACCGATATTTTCCTTGACCTTTTACCGAAACAAGGACGTACAACTTTAGCTTAAAATGTCCTGGTCCTGTTGCCCTGGCTGTTTCTAGTCGTGTTGGATTCCTGGGATGTCTGAATGACAAGTACAACACAACAGAGAACGGTTCACACGAAGAAGGAACGCGACACACTTCCGGCAATGGTGGATTAAACAATAAAAGAAGGAAAGTAACTCATGAGTGTTTCTTTTTAAATCCTGCTGACAGAAAACACACGTATTTTTCAGGAACATTTAAACACAGGTCACAAATAATACATCTGTATGACCATGGTAGTAAGTACCAATCTCCTTGAATTTGTATCATTACCCCATTTTCCTTCAAAACAACTCTGGGCCATGGATTCAGCTGTAATGAAAAATTATTTAACCACTAAATATGAAATGTACACAGTAACTGCAGCTACAATATTTATATTATTGAGTACTGGAAGGGGGGGCATTGTTAGATTCTGTGACATGATCAAAAATTAACAACTAAGGAAAAGTAAATGGAGGATTACAAAGGAAACACTTGTACACAGTAAAATGTAGCCTCTGCATTTAACCAACCCTAGTATTAGGAGCAATATGAACTACATTGGATTCTTACTTTGAATACAAAACCTTTAATGGACACATTAGACATCTGTATAAGGCATTTTTATTCATTTATTTCAAAACGTTTTAAATGAAATCCATACAAAAGTACTGTAGAGTTGAACTACTGTTCGTGGAATGATCTACAAAAACCTAGATTAATTGATGAATCCATCCAGAAATGCGCAAAAATACTGTGTATACACCATTATATGACATGACAAATACACAATTTAGACCAAAATGTCAACAGTAGACTTTTGAACACAGTTTTTTTTAGGCACCTTGTTTGATCAAATGAGACAATGTGGTGACAGCAATTGACGGCAAATAAAGAGATCTTGTTCAGTACAGAAACAACTCTTCTAAACGGGGACTTGTCTGTTGACAAAAATTGCTTCTCCGTCAGTCCCGCAGACAAGACATTGTCCAAGTACATCCAGGCTGTTGACAGACAGCGTCTGGCTGGGCAACATGTGAGTCGTCTCCACGCGGCCTTTACTGGAGTCTCCGTTCAGCCACGCGCTGATGAGGGACTGGTTTCCTCCAGCCGGGGCCATCGCACTGCGAGATATCATGCTGTTGTTCCTGCCACCTGGAAAACAACAACGAAACAATCAATTAACATTTTAGAAGATAATTCTGAATATAATATCCCTTGAAGGAGTTTATGTTTTGGTTTCTTTCTTAGCTGGATTACTGGAAAACAACTGGTTGAATTTTGATGAAACGTGGGGAGAGGGTGAACCATGGGCCAAGGTTCACGATGTTATTTCAGTTTAAGCATTTCATATTTGTACATATTCACATGATAATAAAGTGCCTTGTGGTTTTATTAAATGTATGTTAAATAGTTTTAGTATTGAAGTACATAATAAATGCACAACTGAGATGATGAAGTTCCAGTGAGTCCTTCTAGTTTGTAGCATTTTGCTCTGCCAGCGTTTTAGCTCTTGGTTATCAGTATCACGTCAGCTGTCTCAGTGTTTTTGTTGTTGCTCTGACAACCAAAAGATTAGTCACAGTTGTATGACTAATACATTAAATACATATACATGTTGTGATTAAAATGTAGTTTATAATCAAATGATTGTTCTGCAACTGCAAACTTTTGGATGATATCCACAGTAACACTTGCCTTGTAAGAAGGAGGGCATGTCTGACTGTGCGGACGTCTCCCAGTGCAGCAGTGAACCGTCCTCTGAGCAGGTGAACAGATGATCTGGGTTCGTCGGGTGGAAATGGACTTCCCACACTGTAAAGAAAAGCAAAGAAAAATCAAATCAAGTTTTATTTATATAGCATATTTTTAAACGATTTTTGGTCGAGCTAAAGTGCTGTACATATAATACAAAATAACCTACAGTAGAGACCTTTACAGCACAGTTTGTGCAGAATATCAGTATGAGAAAACGACATCAATAATAAAAAAAACTCATTGCTGAAGAGAATTATAATTTACAAGCAGAAATAATTGTACTTTTAAAACTGGCAATTTTATTCAACTGCCTATTCAAAATGGCTTTCCTTGCTTTGATTTAAAAATAAAGAATGTGTCATACACACAACAATTACAGCGAAGAGATTCCTTTCTTATTCACGTTGAAAACCAGTGTTAAACTAATGAGAAATACAAATGTAAAAATCAATGTTCAAGCATTTCTTTACCCCACCTTTGATGTGTTCAAAACAAAAACTGTAATACCTTTCCCTTACCCCCTACCACAATGTCAAAAAAAACAACAGAAAGAAGAAATCCAACTAAACTCTTACTTTCAGCAGAGTGAGCCTCCATGAGTGAGAAGGGTGCGCTGCCTTGTCTTATATCCCAGACACAGAGCATGCCGTCCTGCCCCCCCGTGGCAACAATGTGCTGCTGGTTGGGATGTCTGTCCACACAGTGCAGAGGGACTCTATCCCCTGACCTGGAAGAAGAAGACGTTATTATAAAAGTCAGATCAGAAGAACAAATGTGGAGAAATGTGATTTTTGTTTGTGGAAATCTTACAAGGAGAGAATCTGGGATGGCGAGTTGCTCTGTTGCCTGAAGTCCCACAGCTTGAGTTGGCCGATGGAGTTCACCGTCAAAATCTCTGTGGTCCTCAGGTAGGTCACAGCATGAATCGTGCTGCTGTCCGCATTCTCTGTCAAAGTACAATAAAATAAACATTAGACACATTATAGTGTCCAACTCTTATGATCTGGAGGTGTTATGATATTCTAAACCCATGAAAACAAATGTAAAGACTGTTTTGAATATGTTTTGGGGCTGTGCGCTTTTTGTAATGATACCAGTAGTACTAGTTATAATACTAATAGTAACAAAAACCTTTACTTTTTTCATTCAATGAAACCAAAAAGCAGCATCAATAGCAAAAAGTAATACAGGAGGAAAACCAACACAACTAAACACACCATTAGACAAAGGTACCAATTAAGAACAGATCAACCCTTTATAAAATGTGAAAGTGCATAGGGAGTGATTCACATAAAAGCCTATTCACAAAAGTGTGTATTTAAAGATCAAGCTGGTTTTACAGGCTTCACATCCCTCGCTCTACCAAGTTATCTCCCGGGATGCCCCCTAAAATGTGCGTAATTTAAAGTGACACTATCATTATGTTAACCTCACCTATGACTCTAACGACTCCCTCCTGGTCGGCTCTGAAGACGACGATCCTTCCATCTTCACCGACCGTGACGATCTCGGGGCTGCTGCACACGACCCCAGTACAGGGAGCGTTGTCACATGGGTAACAATGAACTCCTGGCCAGCGCTGAGAAACTGATATCGTCTGCAGTCAACAAAGACATTTTTATATTTACCAAACCAGAAGTATGTAACATATCCAGTTTGTCCAACATTCACCTCCTTGAAGTGCAAAATATTTGTGTAGCTGTTCCCTGGTATGTTGATGGAATTTAAAGGGGACCTATCATGCAAAATGCACTTGTTCATGTCTCTGTGGAAAGAGATTCTGAAAGTTTCAGGAACAAAGATTCTCTTTTTGTCCTGATCCATTTCTATAAAAACCTGTCTGAAAATGAGCTGATCAGATTTTGGCCACTTTATGATGTCATAACGATTTTTTGGCTTGTGTAACCATTAGCAACCAAGGTAACCCCCCTCTTTCACAATATGCAAATGCTCTCATAAATACAAAGCTAGGTAAATCTAACCCTTAGATACCCTAGCTAAAATCAAGTTATTGTACCCTTTATACTTTCATACAATACTTTTAGGGTAAGAATCATAAACAGCTGACTATCATGTACTAATTTAGACATTTGAAAAAGCCAAAACAAAAATGTATAAAGTCAAAGTAAATGTATTGAAAAGCTTTGGAAAGACAATTAACATGTGCAATACATTTAAGGGATTGTGTGGGTATATATAATACATAAATAATGTTTATTTCTTTTCTTTTTTGTGTACATATTTAATGAAAACTGTACAAAATAATTAATGTCATGTATGTTAAAAGAGTCAGGAAAACCATTAAAGGTAGGGTAGGTAATTTTGGAAAAACCAGCTCGAGTGCGCTAGAATTCGAAAGTACACAGCCGGAACAAATCTGCCACTTCCTTCAGACTTCCTTACAGAGCCCCTCCTCCAACACACACGGACGCGCACATGACCAATGAGAGCACGAGATAAGTTTGTGCACAGATGGAAGGCTGACAGGCAGGTAGGCCATCCAGTTACTTTAGCCGGGCCGGCTCAGATGATTGGTCGTGCTTTTTACAGCGCCACGGCTTCCACAGATGACATTTTTTAATGTATTTATTGTCAAAGCATTTAATATATTCATTGCTATTGGGATGTTAAAGGAATGCTCCACTCATTAGATAATTAATCAAAACTTCAGTATTTAGTAAAACATTATGTTTAAACCATACCCTGAAGAAATCAGCGATATTCCCCGGTAAATAATGATTTTATAGCTCTTTTTTATCAAAACCTGTATATTCCGTCAGGCCGCTGCCATTTTGCCCATTTTCAGTAGTCACGTGATGGTCGTGACGTCATCCATGCGTTCACTTTGTAAACACACGAAAACATGGCGGAGTATTTGAGTTCGGACCTTTATATATACACACAGTCTATGGTTCGGACTAGTCAGCCGAGGAAGAAGTTTTGAGCAATATGAAGAGATTGGATGGGGGAATTCAGCCATACAGGTTCGAGCCTACTTAGTACTACTTAGTAGATACAATGATTTTGATTACTAGATATGTATGCATGTAGTACCACCCTTGCTAGCGATTCCCTCTCTAGTTTAGCATACTCAGCCTCGTTGTCCCTGGCCCTAGAACCACGACTTTATGGGGCCGGAAAACTGGGGGAAAATACCCACTAGCCGGTACTACGCTATATGGAAAGGCCACCAAAAACTGGCCTGGCCTGGACGATAAAGGACGTTTAAACGGGGCTACCCGCTGCAATGGAAATGCGCTATAACATACCTTATTCTTACTCCGAGCACTACTTCTGGTCCTCCGTCGCTTCACACTTGCA